GACGTTGCTGCAGCGAACGGAGATGGGGTCCCGGGGTGGGAAGATGGGCTCAGGGCCTCCGGGGGGCCCCTGCTGCACCCCCTGTCCCCTCAAAAACAAGGGCCCCAGCAGCAGGGCCCCCCACGCCAACCCGCTGCTGCTGCTCCCCATTCCCGTGGCGGCCCGCCACAGCTAAACCTCCTGCTGCTGCTGGCAAGACACGGCCGCCGCTGCTGCTGCACAGCAGCGGCGCCGGGGGGGCACTTCCCGTGCGGTGCAGCTCAGAGCCAAACCCTCTTGAGCCACCATTACCTGGCATAATGCCTGCATGGGGGCCCCCGGGGGCCCCCCTGAGTCGGTCGCCGTTGACGGAGCCGCTGCTGTCTGCTGCTGCGATGGCTGCGCTGGGGATGCCCAGCAGCGCCTGCGAGTGCTGCTGCTGCTGCTGCTGCTGCTGCCGCATGCTCCCCACAACCCCGCTGCTCACCCGGCCCATGGAGCCCCACGGCCCCTGCTGCTGCTGCTGCTGCGGGTGCGAACCCAAGCGGCTGCCGGGGCCCGCGCTGACGTAGCGGCTCATTGCGCCGGGCCCCCCCATCATCATGTCTGTGCTGCTGCTGCCGTCTTGCTGCTGCTTCAGGTCCCCCGCGTGGATGGGGCCCCCCAAGTCGAGCGAGGGGGCGGAAGTGAGGGCCCCGTGGGGGCCCCTGTGCCTCTTGTGCGCTGTGGCCCCCAGGCCGTAGATGACACCCGAAAACTTGGCTTCGTCTATCTTGCCATCAAAATAAGATTCAACAAGATTAAAAAATGTGCGACAAGTCACCAGGCTGTCGCTGCCTGCTTGGTGTTGGGGCCCCACGCGCTGCACGTTGAGCTGTTCGCTGACTTTTTGCAAACTGCTTCCCTGGCTGAGGTTGAAGTTCGGCAGGTCTCGAAGAAGAAACTTTATGTCGTAAAGAGAGGGAAAGAAGTCCTGAACCAGCTCGAAAAAAGCATTTTCCGACTCCGGCAAAGCCTCGCAAGTCAGCAGCTTCAACAAGTAGCCGAAGTCGTAACAGCCGTGAAACGAGATCCACTTCACATCCTCGTTCATCACCAACCCGCTGTTCATGATCAACTCGCCGAAGTCATGCACTTCCACGCCTTTTTTCTGCTGCTTGTCGAAATCAATGCCGCTCTGCTTCAAGAAATCTATGCTGTTCTGCGCGTACATGTCTTCGTTCAAGTCGAAACGAAAGTTGAACTGCCACGTGCAAGTTCCCTCCGCCAGCCGCCCCCGGCTGTCCGCAAACGTCAGGCCCAACTGAATCACTTTCAACAGATCTACATTGTACTTCACAGTCCGGTAGTTGTAGTCCAACGCGTTCGACGTGGGCCGCGCCACAATCCCGGGAAACTCCGTGTCCTGCACGCCGGCAGCGGCAACGCAGCAGCAACTGAACGCCTCTAAACCCCAACCTCTCGGTCCTCTTCGGGACTCGATTTAAAAACAAAACTCTAGAATAAAAACGCAAAGACGCTTGGGAACGGCTACGCGGGTAAAACACCACGGATCGCGTTGTTCAATATGCGAACTGCTGGCCATGCAGACCACACACCGCAAGTACACCGGCTGCAGCTGCTGCTTCCTTTTTGTAAAATTACATTATCTGCAGCTATTAATTCTTTATTTTGAGCAAATTAAAGGCTTAATAAGATGCGCGAACGGTTAAGCGTTCGCGTTCTCACCAGGGCGATGTATGGATAGCGCTCTACCACATCCCGGATGCGGTCGAGCTCCTCCTCTGCAGACGCAAACCGAAACTGAGTTCCGGAAATTGAAAAGTAACTTTAAAGATGTATTTCAAAAGAATAAATAAACGGGCAAAAGATGCAGAGGCGCAACGAAAACGGACACGATCCCAGCAGTATCCCGTTTCATCCGTCACAACCCTAGTCCCAGATCTCAAAGATCTTCCCTTCAAAAGCCACTTGTGAACTAACTAAGAAGTGGAATATTCTGAAAAAAGCACCTACCGAGATTGTGCGCCCAGACCTCAATTATTTGGCCGCGGAGACCTTCACCGTAGCCATTCATGAGGGCGAAAAGGTAGAAGCGGGCTGCTGTAATTCGGCAAAAGAGAAAAAACAAGAAAAGAAGCAGAGAAAAACAGAGTGAAACTCCTTAGGCCTCCCTGCCACTCTCTCTACAGACTGCCTCCGGAGTTCCCGGGAGCGGGCAGCGCAGCGGCAGGAAGCTGCGTCGGGCGAGCTTGCAGCAAAAGGCCGCAGGGCCGAAACCCGTGGAAAGGGTTTAGGGTTTAGGGTTTAGGGTTTGGGGTTCAGAGGGGCTCACCTCCTCTAGAGAGCAGACCAGACTGGAGGGAGGACTGGGGGTTTCAGCCACCCCTCTCGGGCAGCGGGTCAAGAGGGCGGCTGGGGCCGCGGGGGAGTTTGTTAAGAGTCGAAGACAGAGGCTGCAGCTGCGCCTCGCACAGCTGCTGACTCTCACTGGCTACGCCGCAGAGCGCGGAGTGCTGAGACATGTACACTTTCGCTGCAACTAAGTCCGCCATACGGACCCCAGGGCCAAGTCCAGCTGCCGCTGCGCTTCCGCTCGAGTCCAGCTTTCCAGGGGCTCCGCTACGCGCCGCGGGCTGCACACGCAGACAGCCACAGCCCCCCCCCTGCGCAATTCTGCACGGGAAACCGCGCAAAGCCCTTCGAGGGGCCCCCAGCCCGTCCCCGCCCCCCGCAGCCCGCAGCCACACACCCCCACTGCCCCCGCCACCGCGGGGGCCCCAGCGCTGGCCCCGGCCTGCCCGGAGCCTCGCCGGAGGCCCCTGCTGCGCCGCCGACGCGAGCTGCGCGACGCAGCAGCAGCGCAGCAGCAGCGCAGCAGCTCCCAAAATGCGGCCGGAGCCGGAAGCGGGGCCCCGCGGCAGCTGCAGAGCCCGCGCTGTCTGTACACCGCACGCCCAGAAGCATGCAGGCCGCCAACTCCTGCGCGGGACGCAGCCGCCCGGGAAAGCTGGCTTCTGGCTGCGGCTGCACCACGCTGGCGAGTGGAGGCCCTCGGAGAGCGAAAATATAGGCCAAATTCACTCGTTCCAAGCCACAACTGCATGCGAATACTAGCCAGACTGCCAGGAGCGGCGGGTCGGACGCCGGGGAAAGGCTGAGTCGTGAAGGGAGCAGGAGAAAGATGGAGGGCTTGAAAGACAAACTGACCTGCTTTTTTCATTCGAAATGACGGAAGAGGACCTCTCGAGCTCGGATGGGGTAGGCGTAGCCGTAGCTACCACACGTGCGGCCTGGCAGGGAAGCGCAGGGCGGTCCCAGGCTAAGCGGGGCGGATTCAGGAAGCCAGGCGGCTCAGTTGCTTTTAAAAGTGCCTCAGAACGCCAACTGTCTGCAGCAGAAAAGTGCTAGCAGGTCGAGTCGCAGGATGCTGCAGGTATACCCGCCGTTGTTGCTGGCGCGACTATGCGTACAGCACATCCAGCGTCTAGAATTAGACAAGCCGGTCGCCGCCTAAACCTATAAAGAGGTTCACAGAAGGCAGTAATCGGAAGGGCTGTTTGCAGCATTCATAAAGACATATTCTCGCGTCGCGGGGACGCACAGATGCAGCAGCCAGACGCTCACCACCAAACCTCGCCGCCCCTCCAGCCGCTGGGAAGCAGAGCAGCCGTCAGTAGCCTAATGCCTCACAATTTTTATTATTTTTTCTTTTTCAAACAACAGCTTCATTTCAACACTTCAGTACTTTCCTCTCGAAGCCTCTAACGTAGCTTTAATGGCTCTTCACCGGCGTTATACCAACATACTGAAGTGTGCTTGTAGCGTTCCTGTACAATCACAGAATATTTCTACACTGTGAGCCTAGTACTTAAAATCGCGACCCAATAGCTTCTGATAGCGACTTCCAATTAATAATTTCTCATTATTGCTCGAAATTTTTGTTTTTTGGTCGACTAATTCTGTCACCAACAGCTGCTGTGCGTTCCGCAGAGATTATTTATGTTTTGACTCCAGTGGCTTAACTGGGAGAGCTGAAGTATGACAAGTACCAGTTCTAGATAAGATATAACCGAACTAGTCCTTATCCGCCACGAGTACTTCAGCTATGAATGCATCTAAAATCGCTCATTAGAGGGGGTATAAGAGTCAAAAGAAGATTCGGGGGCTGTGGACTGGAGATGACGAGGAGTCACAAAAGGCCGCTCGTGCAAACAGTTCCTTATCGGTTTTATCGGCTCTAGTCCAATCAAGTGCGCCTCACCAGTACTTCTGAAGAAGCGTAGGGCCGGCTCACTGCCTCTTTTGCGCACGACAAGGATCCCGGGGGGCGTCCTACTGCCTGTTGATGAGTCAAGACAACATAAGGGCTAAGAATAAGGTTTCTCAAATATGCCCTTAGTTGTTGTTCAACTTACCTCTGAGCTAACATGGCCTGACTTATGCAATCTGTCTTCTTATGTCTGACTACTTACGGTGGATCTCAAATGAGGGTGCTGGCATCCAGAAATTTTGGGAGGGCGCCTATGCTCAAGGTAAAGTGCTTTGATGTAAGGAATTTCGGATCGCGGGGCGTAATGTTTGTGGCTGCAAGGTTGAATGTAGCTCTCAACAGTATCCTAGACGCCATAGACACAGCACTGAAACAAATCGAAAAAGTTAAAGCCAGCTTGTTTAGAAGGGATGCAGACTACGCCGGAGGTCTAGGGTGCACTTATTTTCAGTGCTGAAGTTGCCCACGCAGCGTCCTAGATACATCGAGGCACAGATGCACCCATATTTATGCCCGGTGCAAAAGTATGAATACGAAATTTGTAGAGAAGGGTCGCAGGTGCTACTAAGAGCCCCCTGCGTGTTGAACTGACCGCAAATAGGGCATAAACGTTGCATATAAGCTGTCTGGAATCAGTGGGTAATGGGAATTCATGCTCGGCGATGCAGTGGAACCAATATTTTTCTTTGTTACACTGCCTGGCTAGGATGATCACCGCTTCCCCTTTTCCCATATGATCAAACAGCCGACCGATTTCGGGATCGTAGAGGAGTTCTGCCATCCTTTTTTGTTGCAACAACGGTTGCATAGCAAGACGATTGCATTTAGGTGTTTCACCTCTACCATGGCTGCAAAGCAAGGTAATCATATTCAAGTGTGAAAAAAATACGGCTTGTTAGATGCGGAAAGTGCATTATAAATAGTCTGATGGCACAATGCACTGGTTTGGCCAAGTAGCGCGGTCGCCAGCCTGCACCAAAATGAGCGACAGGAAACTCTCTCCTTGCACTATATCCATTATATTGGAGAAACAAAACCATGGTATGAAGAACAAGACTCATCAATACTTAATGCATATATGCAGACACCACACGCGCTTCTCGGTGGGACAAGGAGCTGTAGCTTGTTGCCTCCCAGCTTTCCGCCTCAGCTTTCCGCCTTTTTTTCTGCATTCGGCGCCGTGCTAGCTGCCACAGGACGTAGACCTTATGGCTCCACTGTATTTTTAGTTTTATTTTTTCAAATTGCAAGAATCAACTGAACTTTGGTGTAAAACTAAATGAACAGGGGCCGGAACCATGCGCACCATTTTGTCAGCCTCCACTGACCCAAGGGTCGGTCGGTCTTTGAGACCCTTTAGGAGCCTCCAAACTTCCACTGAGTGTATTTTTGAGTTTTTCATTTGACGAATCAAAGGTGCTTGCTCGTGACCGACCGAAGCGACTGAATCCTCGAAATGCACAGTGTCCCTAATGGGCAGCACTGCAATGTAGCCCAGAAATTTCCCTCAGGGGCATATGACTCAAAATAGAACGATTAACGATCAGGCCCTGCGTCCTCTGCAGATATGCGGGGGGGTTAGCTGCTCTCAAGAGGCATTGAAGCTGAATCCACAATACTTGCACACAGGGAGGAAAAAGTCAATCAGGAGACAAATGTAACACTTTTGGGCAAGTGCAGCACTTTCGAATTTGGACTTAGAATGATGATGCTTGAACCCTTTTAGTTTATGAGCGTGCCTTAAGTTGGTAGTATTGGGCACGGACCAGTGCAGCTAAGATGGGCGGAACACATCACACCCAAGCTGGGCTTACTACGTGGCCTCTATAAGCTACCGGCCCACCGCCAGCCCCAGGCTGGGCTGTAGAACTTGTCAGGCCTAGCCACCCTTAGAGCTCGGTTCTTTAAAACCCTTTATTTCTTTTGTACGTACTGAGTGCGTTAGATTCGACTAGCGTGCTCTCTCAAGGCACTTTCCTTGTTCAAATATGGTGCATCTCGCTACAGATACTGTTTCTATAACTTGCGAACCTCAGAAAACTAGCACAGCTGATGTAGTGAATAGCTGACTGTTCTTGTCTTGAATTTTACTGTAAAAGGTGGCATAGAGGAGAGCAAACGTAGATTAGCAGCCTGCTTTGCTAGGCTCAAGGTTGTTACAACAGAGCTTCAAAGAGTACGCCATTTCCGTCAGTTTTCCTGCGTGCTTTGCATAGATAAAGTGCACTTCTACTAGTTCGCGTTCATTTCCATTTGAGTAAGGAAATGTGACAAGCTCAACATATCGCCAGACTTTCCTGTGAGGCTGGCACTGAACAGCTACTGTGAAAGAACTACATGCAAAACCAGACCGTGTATTGTTTTGCAGCAGGGCAAGTCTGGGAAACTTTTGCGCCTCTGGCATGAAGCTAGGTGTAGGAATCCATCTTTCCACATTCGCGTAACAGGAGCTAAGCGTTGCATGATGGCTTTTTTCTGTTCACAAGGGATTTGACAGCATAGGCAGTGTGCTTCCTGACTTTGCCCCAGAGATGAAAGCACCCTCGTGAAACGTTATGTTCACTGCGCGTGTTCTCAGGCATCTGTCGAGATGTGCAATTTAACTACCTGTGGTTTCGCTGCAATGGTGTCTTCAACGTCTAACGAACCCGTCTTGACAGGAGTACCACTACGCGTAATGCGTATGTAATTGTGCGGTTAGAAATTATGTCTGTATATTGTAAATGAGCATATACAATGTTTTGTTTACGGGACTTCTCCCACCTACGATTAAAAGAGTTCTTCAGGAGCTTCTCGGCGAAGCATAGTACGCTGATACTTTAAGCTAGCTACTGTACATCGAACCGATTATGCGAATATAAGGTATTCCAGGCAGAGAAACACTGCATTGCTCTGCCAGGTAGTAAAAACCGAAGCCTTAACAGCGGGGGCGAAACTTTTTATTGCCAGACTTCTGCGCTCAGCCCGTTGGTCTCCTTGCGTCTTGTGGGAGCCATGTGCTACTAATTGTGCCACAGCAACGATCCGCTTTTGCCTCCTTCAAGAGGACAAGAGTCATAACGGCGCCAAATCACGCAGTCTCAGCTGCCCAGACTGACAGGAGCGTCTGCTTTTTGGAGCATGTAGCCGGGTCATACATAAGCAAGATGGCCGCTGCACACGGCATTGTTTGCTAACTAATTTGCGCCGCCAGAGCCAAATCACCTCTTTATGGAGTTGAAGGGCAACTATTACATTCGCTAAACAGATAAGTTGAATTTCAGTGCAAAGTCTATAGTGGAAAGCCGTGGTCCACCAGCGACGCGCATGGAGGAAGGCAGCCGCAATTGTTATGGGTGGGTTGTTCGTCGAAATGGCTCGTAATAAACCTTTTTATTGCGTTTGGAATTGCATAACAAACACATAAAAACATAACAGAGAACACAGCTCAACCTTGTTGCTTCAACAAAATGTCTGGTCAGCCCTAGTGGCCTCTGGCTGGTCGGACCATGACTCGACGCTCTCAAGACTAATGCAAACGCCGTCCATTTGAGCATTTTACCAGGGGCTCTGGCAAATGTAAAGTTACTCGTAATCATTGAATATCCTAGCTGTTTTCGCCTTTTCTTACCGGCAGAACGAACCAAGAACGCGCCGTGCTGCCGTGGCTCTGCGGCAGCGGATGAGCTGGCTCACACTCCGGGGCTTGCTGGCCTCTCGGGGCGTCTATGAAACCACAAGGCCTTCTTTGGAGTCATTTGTAGGGACTAGGAGAGCTTTGTTCGGCTGGTGCAGGTTGGGTGGACTGGGGGCGGGGGTCATGGCTGCTCCCTAGTCTCGATCCTCCGCTGCAAGGTTCATCTCCGTAACGTAGTGTTGTTTCGAGGTTTAATTTGGCTTTTAAGCAGCCCTTGTATAGGTCGGCTAACTCTGCAGGCTAGTCGCATACTGTGGCCAACACAGCGGGTCACGTGTCCGCAACTCTCCTCGAAGGGCCCCCCAAAGTACAGCATCTGTATCTGCAGCTTTCATGCCAAACCCCTGGCAGGATTTATTGGGAAGGCACAAAATCTGAATAAGCAGGCAAGTGGGTGTTCTAAAGTGAACCCGGCAGCAGGCGTGAGGTCCGGAGCGCCTGCACAACATCGACTGAATTCACCACCGGCAACAACGACGGGTAACAGCCGCTGTGCTGCTAGAGAGAAGCGGCAGTTCACCGCCGCATCTCTCGTTACGATGCTTGCGGGCTGCTCGGCCACACAGCTTAATCAGGTGTGGTTCACATCAGCAGCATTTACAGAGGTCTCACCCGCGATGACAGTGGCGCCCATGCATTTTCACACCACCTCCCATTCCAGCAGAGTTCGGGATTGTTTCGGAATTTCCTCAGGTTTTGTGTTATATTGGCACGCAACTACGAATAAAGTGTGGAGGGTTGGAGCTTCGTTTGCATGCTCAATTCTTGCATGCTGCGTTTTTAGGACCCTCTGTTTCGCCATTAGTGGAGATGGGGAACCAGTGCTGCGCCGGGCGGGACGTAAGTTTGGCCTGCAGGTCGTTTGACTCATTTGATAAGTATTTTATACCGGCATTGAAATATACGGGCGTTGCGCTCTATTGGTTAGCAACAGCCAAGCCACCAACTGTGCTTCCCCTGCAGACCGCTTACAAACGGAAGGCTCAGGAGAATGAGTATGGTGGAAAGCTGAAGAACATGCTTTCCTTTGGAACAGGTGCGCGGCTTTTTGTTGAGCCAGATCATTTTCAGGCGACACTGCGTCGTCTTTATATGCGTCTTGCATCGCCGCCAGATAGTCTGAGAAGTACAGATAACTAGGCTTGTGGTGTTGGTTACGTCCGTGCTCTGTGCCTGTCTCAGTGGGGGATGACGTTGTTCGGTTTGATAGAGCGTATGACAACAGCGACATTGCCGAGTTCGTGCGCCTTTGCGATTCCACTTGTGAGGTAAGTGAACGTGATGAACATAAGGCATTTTTGGGGAGGCCCGTGATCCGGTGGTACTACTTAACGATTTTGAGATGCCAGCTTGAGTGGAATTATATAAACAGTATTTATTTTCTGTGAAGTTAGGGGCGTTAAGACGCAAAAGCATTGGGTATAGGCGGTCCGGCTACAGGCAAAAGTCCCACCATAGGGCGTTATACTTGCTTTGAACGAATACCTTCCTCTTGCATTGCTGAGGCGCACAAAAACTGGTAGCGAGCTCAAGTGTTTTGCGTCGATTGCAGATAGAGAAGCTGGAGGAACGAATGCATCCATGGGCAGCTGACCCCGAAACTATTGGGGCACTTGCTGCGACTCAGCTCGCCATATTTGCTTCACGCGAACGTGAGGAAAAGAAATTATGCCCCTTTTCTGCGTTCCCAAGCAGCTCTAAACATGCTCATTGCACTTCCAGAAGGGGTACCGTACATGGAACTTTGCACCAGATTTCATGGTTCGTAAGTACGAAGTGTCCTTCGCCTGCTCGCAGAGGAGCCGCACCTTAAGGATGAAATTAGAGAGGCTGGTGGCATAGAGGTCCTGGTGAAACTTTTGGCTTCTAAGGTCAGTCTCACAATGATTGTAGGGATTCTCAGTATGCGTGGCTCAGACCAATGGCAAACTTGAGTACATCCATGGTGTAAAGGCGTGTACACACTTTAGACACGCTCGATATCTTTCATATTAACGGCCCTACGGAATCACAGCATACGCCTCTGTACAGGAACTTGACCGGAAACACTCGGCAGTTGTCGCGCTTTCCTTCCTATCTGTCGACAGTAAGCCATTGAACGAAGATTTAGGAGCACGAGGGATGTGTGTGGTGTTCCTGTGTTTGCTATCTTGCCAACAAACCCTTATTGGGGCATACAAGAAGCTGAATAGGGGGTCTTCGTGCGTTCGCTGTGACGACTTTCAGACAGGGAGAATTGTATTGCGATGTTCAATGCGGGAGCTATACCCTATCTGATCCAAGGCATGAAATCCGACATCGAAGGCATGCGAGCAGCTTGCGCGCAGACAGCTCGCAATATCTACGTCCTTGGTACAGAAATACACTTTGCGGGAGACACATCATGGCCTTGTTAATTGTGGTGAACCTCGTGAAGCAGTGCTGTGACCACACGGACGGAAGGTCTATTAAAGGTTGTTTACGTGGCAGCTCTTCTGCTTTTGTTTCGTTTCCACTTGCAGACGATAAGTATCGTCGGGCGTTCATGAAAGGAGGTGGCATAGCGCAGCTCGTGCGCTTCCTGGATGTGTAAGAACTAGCTTCACTGTCACATCATTAAAGCATCAAGCACCTTTGGGTTCTTTCGGAACATCAATGTGTCACTTCACGGGACTGTGCTGCTGGAAAGAGCAGCTGATCAGCGTACGGCAGAGTGATGGGCCAGTCCAGGTAACCTTCACATTTGAACCTGTGACATTCGCTCAGCTCTCCAGACGCAACAAACGTCTACACGCAACTGGAGGCGATCTACCACCTAGAGGATTTGATAGGTGATGAGAACGAAGAACGCCCCGAGTTTGTGCAGGGAGTGAAGGCAGCGGGGGCAATACCAAAGCTCAAGAAACTGCAGCAGGTGAGACAGCAGATATTAGGACTCTAGACCTATGTGGGCGTTGCCGTTGCTATGCCGGCCTGCACAGTATCAGCAGGGGTTCACTGAGCAATAGCTGTTTCTCCGCAAGCTTGCACGGTCACTAACGTGTATGCTAGGCATATGTAGCGCTTCCGCATACGGAGAGTGTCAGCAGCCGCACATGTGCATGGCCTGTGTACGCCAGCTGCAGCCTTTTTTCTTTCTGGTCTCTGCAGCACCGAGACAAGGACATAGCGGACGCCGCAAGCTTGCTGTTAGTACGCCTAGCAGACTAACTGTCTCCAGAGCATGGTGGTGGAGCTCATACTCATTCATGCAGCCATATTCCGCTGTTTTGATAGCCGTAGGACGTTGCTGCACTTCGCGCAGCACCGGCCATTCACGCAGGTGTCTAAGAAGTCCACTCAGCTCGGAATGTCAGCTGTTTGGCATTTAGTCGTCTGGCGGCCCAGCCAGCAGCACTTTTCCCGTCGGTGAAGTCGGTGTGCCGGATGCTTTTGCTTTGGGAGCCGCTGTACAGTGGTGATTCCTGGCATTGCACAACCACGAATTCGGTCTGCACCGCTCGCGTGCACATCCACTAAGGAGCAAGAACAGTCTCTTGGACTCAGAACCCCCTACATCTTTCTCTTCCTTCACATGCTTGTTTCTGCAGTCGAGGCATTGTAGTTGAAACATCTGTAGCCTTGAATTGTTCTTTCTCGGTGACGTACGTACTGTGTGTACCCGCCCACCCCGCACCCCAGACACACCACGCAGTGAGTGTGGGGCAGGGCAAGTAGTCTACCGCAGTCTACTAGACGCGCACAAGAAAGAACGCCATCTTAGCCGTGGCAAAACGCGACGTAGTCAATCCTATCTGCGCAGCACGGTCCAGCGTGTGGCAGCAATGCACCTGTACAACGTCAGGTTCCTTACTCCAGTGCTCCGCACTTGCGAGTCAAGGGATATAAATGATGAACCTAAGCAGAGAATCGGTGCTAAAACAGTAATTCAACAAAAACTACCTACACGTCGACTTCAGTTGATGAAGCCCTCCCACGAGGATTCTAACAAAAGGAATGCGACTCTCAAGAGTACACACCTCCCTCCCCGCTTTCCAACGGTCGGCACGCCACCCTGCATGCCCGTCTGCTCTACGTTATAAACAAACATGAATGAATCGATGCAGCTCTGGCCTGTCTGTCTCATGAAGGGCTGCCCGGCCCGTGCCCCGACAGCTGACAAACGAGCGGCCTTGACAAAGAGAAGACGCCACGCCTACGGAGAAGCTATAACAACAGCACTCACAGGCGCTGGCGGAAGACACTTGCTCACCCTCTCCATGAACTTCAGTCTGAACTTGACCTTTTACGCACCTGCCACCTTGCCGGCGGGGATTCCAAAGCTACTGATACGCCAGAGACGTCTAATACACTTCCCTGTTCAATTCACAGAATAAACACCTTAAGCTAGCGCTTCGGCTGCAGCTGCTGTATCTGTCGCATCTGCTGCATCTGCTTGTTGCCGACTAGCTGCCGCTAACTGCCCGATGAATTCGACATGGAACTCAAGAAGGACTGATAGTACTGCGTGTACAACTGCGCCAGCACTTGGGGGTCAACAGAGGCCCCTCTCTGTGCTGCTTGCTGCTGCAGCAGTTGCATCACGTACGCAGGAACAGGCTCTTGCTGCTGTTGCTGCTGCGGTGGATACATATTGTACCCCTGCTGATTCTGTTGCTGATAAGCTGGCGGCTGTCCCGCACCATAGTCAGTGGCCCCAACCTGCTGATATGGGGTGCCACCCGAGTAAGGCAGTGCATTCCCTCCTGGCTGCTGCTGCATGGAGCTGGGGGAGAAGCTATTGCAGGCTTGCTGCTGCTGCGGGGGGCCCATACTCCCTCCCCTGGGGGCCCCGTACTGGCCCTCCGGTTGACTGTTGAAGGGGAGAGAGTGACCCTCCCGGAATGCAGCATCTCCTTGGCCCTCCCCACCACGGGATCCACAGTAACCTTCATGACCGGGCATGACGGGGCCCCTGGAAGACCTTCCGTGGTAGCCCCAGTCACAGGGACCCTCTCCACGGGAATCCCCCATAGGGGCCCCACCACTCCAATCCGAGCCGTAGCTGCCTTCAAAGCCAGGCTTGGGGCGCTTGGAGGATCTCTGGCCTTCGAGAGCTCCCTGGCCCCACCCTCCAGATGGCCCTGCTGCTCCTCTGTTCTCCCAGCTGCCCGCTCCCCACGGGCCTCGGCCCCCACTATCTTTCGCCTGTTGGAACGAGGGCGAGCCGCCTCCAAACGCGGCTCGCTCGCTGGAGGAGGCCCCACCGAAGCCCCACCCTTTAGAAGCTGAGGGAGCCCAGGGGCCCCCTGAAGGCAAAGGAGCAGGCGACTTCTGCTTAACTGCATCATAAAAATCTCGTGGGGGCCCATGCCGCGCGGAGTTCGGACCGCCCCTCTCTTCAAAGGGCCGGTAGGCCTCTTGAGGGGGCCCCCTGCTGCCTTCCATCTCTCCCCCACCCCTCGGGAACCGCCCCGGGGGGCCCTCAGGGCCAGCGCCCTTCCAGGGGCCCGAAGCTTGCGGTGGAGGGGGCGGGGGTGGAGGGGGGCCCCCACCCCACTGGTTTCCCCCCATGAACGGAGGCGGGGGGCCCCCCCGCATATTTTTCCGGCCAAATTCGTCCATCCTACTGCCACCCATTCTGCCATTACTACGGGCAAAGCCCCCGAAGGGCATATTCTCCTGAGAGCCCTTGCCGGGACCACCCTGTCCTCCAAAACCTAAGGCATGTGGAGGGGGGAGGGGCCCCCCAAAGCCTGGGACGGGGAAGGGGGGCATCCCAGGCATCGGGAAAGCAGGAGGCACTCTCTTAGGCCTCGGCGGATGCTGAATAGACCAACTAACAAAAGCAGCATCCAACTCCTTTCCCCTCGCCAACAGATACGGCAAGAAGTCCAGAGTGAAGGCCTGGAGAGGCTGACGACGAAGAGAAACCAACTCCGTGGTCAGCAAAGTCTCAAAGGAAAATGGATCAGCGGCCTGGACATAGAGCACATAGTGAAACTCCAAGGGCTTCTTTGGGCTGCTGCCGCTTTTGTCGCCTTCTTTCTTTTCATCCGCCATCTCCTGCTGCTGCTGCTCCTGCTGCTCCTCCGCCTCTGGCTGCTCCTCCCGCTGCTCCTGCTGCTGCTCTTCTTGCTGCTGCTCTGCATCTTGTTTCTGTCCAGGCGCCTTCAAGGAAACGCCCACCCTCCTCTTCTTCTTGAAACCTTTCCTGATGGCCTGTGGGTACTTCAGGTGTTCATTCACGTTGTCCGTGACCAACACTCTGTAGTCGCAGATGCGCACATTGGGCCGGAGGTCCATTAAGTACACAAGTAGTTCTTCAGGCGCAAGCAGCGCATTTGAAAGAGGACCAAATAGCACTATGCCGTTGTTTGGCATGGTTTCTGGAAGCTCAGGGAGCTGCTTCAGTTCTTCTTCCGTTAAGGCCACCTCCGGGGTGTCCACTGCTGCTGCTGCTGCTGCTGCTGCTGCTTCTCCCGCTGCTTCTTCCTTCTTCATAGCAGTTTCCTTCTTCGCCTCAACACCCTCCACCTCTGCCGCCGCTGGCCCACTCCCCTCACTCTTCAGTCCCTCCTCCTTCGCTTCCTGCTGCTGCTGCTGCTGCTGTTGCTGCTGCTGCTGTTTCTGGGGCGGCTGTTTCGCCCTGACGAGTCTCTGTCTCTCGGATTCCCTGTACGACACGAGGCTCTTTCTGAAGCCCTCCAAAATCGGCATGGTCCGTTCCGTGTTGGCAACTGTTGCTGCTTCTCCCACAGCTCGATCTGGAGCCACACGAATGAGACAACTGCCCTTCTGGAGGTCAACTCCATCCGCCGCGGCATTCTGTGCAAAGACGGGGTCCAGCTCGGGAGCCACGAGCGCCGCCCTCAGCCGCTCCAAACTGCCATCTTTTTCCAGCTGCTGCAGCGCCGCGTGAATCTCTTCACGCGGGATCGCGTGCCCTCGGGCAACAGCAAACACGCGCTGCGCCTCTGCAGCAGACAGCCCCAGCAGCGCCATCAGCAGCGCACACACCATGTAGCCTGTCCTGTTCAGTCCGTGGGTGCAGTGGGTGACAACTGTGAACCTCCAAGGACACGTGCATGCGCTGCTCCCCGATCCCCGGCCTGCTGCTTCTCCCGGGGGCCCCTTTGGGGCCCCCGAGTTGCATGAGGCGCACTCGGCTGCCGCTGCCCACTGCTCAGCTGTACGTACACCTTGCATTGTCAGCATGGCCAGCAACTTGAAATACAGCACCACGCTCTCCTCCGTGGGAACTTCCCCCCCGCCTTGGCTCTTGTGCCAGAACACACTAACTCCGTCTCGCCTCAGCAGCTGGGGCTCATAATGCCTTTCTGTCAAGCACAAATTGACAACTGAAAGAATGCGCATGCGCCCTTCGTCTATCAGACACTCGAAGCCGAACGATGGGACGCGCCGAGCAGGAGGCTGCTGCTGCTCCTTTCCCTCTTGACTGTTGCTTTGCTGCTGCCCGTCCTCCTGCTTGTCGTTCGCTCCCGCACTGGTCTGGTCCGCAGCAGCTGCTGCCGCTTCTGCCCTCTGATGCTGTGCTGCAGCAGCCAAGCGAGAGCCTCTTCGGCCCAATCCTGCTCGGCGGCGCTGCGCGCCGTCGAACTGCTCCTGCAGGCCTATGGGGGAGAAGGGGCGGCAGCGGAAGAGCTGCGGGGCGAAAGCAGCAGAAAGGAAAGTCTTGCATGGCAGAACGAGTAGTTTGTCGACCATGAGAGGGTTTGGGGAAACGAAAGGCGCGGAAGCAACTCCGTCATTCTCCGATTCCTCGCAGTGCTGCTGCTGCTGCTTCGGATCCTCCCCAGCCTGGGCCTCCTTCGGCTCCGCCGCAGGAAGCGCGCCGCTCTCCTTCTTCCCTGCAGTATCTCTGATGTCCACAGCGGCGAAAAAATCTGAATAAGTTGACCACTTTTCAGGCAGAGGCCCCCCAGCCTCCCGCCTGCAGGTGCAGCCCACTGTGTCGTGCAGCCAGCTGCAAAATGGGGAACTCCGCCACGGGCCGCCACAAGTCCCGTTGTTTGAAGTTCGGGGAAAGTACTCTAGTATGGACGAAGGCTCCTCCACTGCGCTGTGCTGCCTCTTGGCTGGCGAGTGCCGCAGTTCAGGATTTGCACTGCGCTTCGCTGGGGCCCCCTCCTCCTGCTTTTCTGTTGGTGCTTTCTCGCACGGGGGCTTCTCTTCTTGTTCTAGATGCTGATTGTTGGAAACTATTGTCTCTGGCTCCTGCGGGTCTGCATCTTGCGCAGCTCCCTCTGCCCCGGTGCCCTCGTGGGGTTCCCTCGGGGCCTCTCCATCGTTTTCCACGGGTGGCACTCTATGATCCCCTTGCTGCTGCTCTGTGTCAACGTCCTGCTGCGGTATCTCCGTCACTCCCGCTGTCTGCACGGTCTCTGGCTTCTCCTGAGTCTGCGTGTCTGGCTGTGAGTCCTCCTTCGGAACTTCATCCGGCAGCTGCTGCTTCTCCGCTGCAGTCGCGGACTTGTTTTTGCTGGCGCTGCTGTCCTTGCTCTTGCTGCTGGAACTCTTGGACTTGGCTGACTTCGACTTGGAGGACGATGAGGACTGCTTCTTGGAGGGTGTCTTTGAGGACTTCCTCTTTTTTTTGTCAGAGACGGCCGTCGCCTCCGCGCCCGCCGCCGTTGGCGTCGGCTCTGTCTCTTCGGTCATCATGTCAATGAATTAAGATGCTAGACTGTACCTATGTACCACGCCGCTGCAGTAAGCACGCAACGGGTGGAAAGGCCTCAACCCCAAAGGATAGTGACGGACAGAGCCAGCGGGGCCACACGACAGACTGCGGATACGGGCCAGCTTAGAACCCTAAAAACTTGTTATTTATACTACAAATGATGCCAAAGATCTATGCAGTCAATCAAGCGAGAATGGCAAGCACTCTACCCATGACAGACCGCAGGGGCAAACCCCGGCAGCTGACTCCTCGGGACTGAATTCAGCGCGCGTGGGTCTACAGGAGAGCACCCTTGGCAGATCAGCTCTATTTTGGGCTTGTTAAAAAAAATTCTAGCGGGAAGGAGAAACACATTCATCAATTGCCACGTTTGCACTAATGTTTACTTTACAGAAAGTTGATGGGCAGGCGATTTCGCAGTGGGCTCCCGCTGATCGGCCTGCCTCAGCATTTCTGCCCACGCCGCTTGTACCATGCACGGAACTGTTGGACCTGCAGTCTTTAACCATTATTTCACTTCATTTACTGGAACAAAATGCATAGTGTGAGCAGTGGAAAATAACCAAGACAAAATCCCTGCTGCCTTCACGCCCAGCTTATAAATTTGGGGGGGGGAAGCGGGCGCTTGGAAGGGAGGGGGGGGTGAGCCAGTGAAGAGACGCGTTCCTGACAGCGCAGGCATCTCTAGGAAAAGCAACCACGAGAAACTTGCTTATTTAAGCCTAATAAAGTATATTGTTGAGAAGCTCAATAATGCAAGAGCACTCGCTGTACAGCAGCCACTGACCTTGGATGCAGCGTAGGAAGCGCAGAGGTTACCATACGTTTGATCCAAGGAAAAGTACGATGTGGTTGAAAGAGGTACCCTCTAAAATTGACAACTGACTTTGGTTTTTCCTACGCGTGGAAGTCTCACCTGTCTCGCCAAAATCCCTGCTGCCGCTGGGAAGAGGCCTATCGCACAGACAAGTCAATCGCTGCAGTTTCACTGTATAAATCCAAATCAAAGCATTTATCTCACCAGACTTGTGAAAATGTACTTAATGGATCCCACTCTTCTAAACTTGTCTTTAAACTGTTCAACACCAGCTACTGTCTTCGGGTCGCATTCTGTGCGTTCCGTAGTCTGGCATGGGCTGCATCTTGCAGTTCCGCGTTCATGCCAAATTTCCACCTGTTTTCCGCAGACAGCGAGTTACTGGTGTCGCATGTGTTCTTGCGATGGTAGACTCTAAATGAAAGTATTACGGAGTGCAAAAGACACCCACAGACAAGCCAGGGAGGGGGTCGAGTTCGTTAAATAGCCAGGCGCACCGTTGCTACTGCCGTGGGCATCCAACAAAAGTACAGCGGAGAAAGCGATGATAGTCCCAAAGTAGTAGTGTCAGTAGGGGACTCTGGAGTTCCGCCGCGTCACCCTGTATCAACGCCGATGAATAACCTAACATGAAGCAGAGTGAACAGCTTCTATGCGGCGAATGAGCCCTGCATCTGCTCTTGCAGACAGCCAGTGGGGTCACAGCCACGGTTATTACCATTGTCTTCTAAGAGTGCCTTCAGACTTTCGCACCACCTGTTTGCTTGGGCAAGTGGAGCACTTCTCATGCACCCGCTTCTCATACGTATTGCCTGGTCTGGAGTGGCATACGAAAAGACCCCGCTTTCGATATGTAGGCCGGCCTCTTTTGGCATTAGAATTCACTCTCTATATCATTTACGTGTCTAGAGTGCGGGAATGCTGACCTTTCGTTAAGGTATTCGCCAGACCTAAGTCCTTCTAGGCGCTCTAACGCGTTTCAGAAGTGTACAAACCATGCTGTACTAGATTTAGTGAAAATAACAGTAAGCTATTCTATATTCGACGCTGGCCATAGCGGCCGTACTACTGCTTGAGAGACTTTGCCGTGAGATGGCAGCTTTGGCTAGCATAATGTTTAGTGCTGTACTCTACCACGCATCTCTAGGTTGCGTAGAGCTTGTGCTTGTGCGCTGAAATTAGTGAGCAACTCAAGTGTAAATCATAGTGCTAAGAACCAGTGGTAGGCCTGTTGAAAAAGCAGGAGGACGCATGCGATCTTCATTGTTAGTAGCAGTAATCCCATCGCATTATAGAAGAAAGATTCTAGACCCTCCCTGTAAGCTCCAAGATCTGCACTACATTAATCTGATGTTGACCTCTCTCAATTGCTGATATGGGTAGAATACCTCAGTTCAGGCACTTTCTTGAGTATAAAAACGAACTTTATGTGGCACTTAGTCCTCAAGCCTGGTGATTACGCAAGTGAGTAACACTAGGCTATAAGCCAGTAGCTAGAGATCGCGACTGCAGGGGAGTGCCAAGTAGAAACATTTCTTCAGATTGTCCAGAACCGTTGTCCTTGTAACTGCAACTAGACGGGACTGAGAGGCACCTCTTTTGTGCAAATACATTCCTTAGGACGCAGACGAGCTACAAAGCTGCTTTTGGTATCGGTGGTAGTCAGGCGATAGACAATTGAAGATTTTGGCACATACGCACTTTAAGGTTTATTTCTTATTATTTTGCACTCTCAAGCTTCAACCAGTAAGCCTGCTGTGCATCTTCAGGCTGCAACCTAGCGGAGTCCAAGTTGTATTGTAATGCTGGCACGCTTATCCACACTTATCCCCTCCCTCTCCCAGCTACCCCCCAATTAAGCTTACTTATTTGTACTTGCACTGCGATGACAAACTGTTTGTAAGGTGTTGCGAAGTTGGCTTGGTGTGGTACTGCCAACAAGGTATGTAGCCCACAATGCACTATGCTTAAGCACTCAGCACAGGTAGAAAATAGATAAAAACTAAAGTCTGCATAAAGTGTCAGGGCTTTGGCCTTCTTCAGATATGTTTTCAGTAGCCCGTAGCACCAGGAGGCTATTTATTCAGCGAAGGGGTGATAAGGGCTACTCGGGACTGTTAGGGAGTGTTGATGTGGGTTTTGTTAAATCTACTAGAAAAGAGGCAGTGGTCGCGGTCAAATTGACATTAGAATGGTACACGGACTACTGTTAATCGTATCGTAAAGGATCGCCTCCAGCGGTCTCCGCGTAAAGTTGGCTTGAGCGAATGTGGGACTGTGCCATGAGCCAATCCTTTTGGAGAAAAGGGATTAACGTTCTACGAAACAGACCCGTTGGGAGCCCCTCTATCGGCAGGGTAACTGTAGTGCACAGGCTCTACAATGGGGCTGGTTTGTGTCCTAGAGATGATAGCTAGCTAGCGACCTACAAGGGGTCGCGACACTGGAGGAGGACAGAACCCTCCCAAGGGGATAAAAATAAGAAAAGCCGTCTATTAGTTCTAATGAATAGGTGAAATATGCGGAAATTGAGTGGAGACTGGGGCTGGCGAAAGCGCCGGGACCAATGCGGACCTCCTCCCCATAGGGCCTAGGAGGTGAGCTCCAAGAAGGGGGCGAATCGAAGAGACAGACTTAAAAAGACTTTTAGAATTGCCGTATTTTGATAGAATAAGGCTATAGAGACCGAGAAATGGGGCTATACTAGGCGTAGTATGTAGACCTGTAGAGGGGCAGGAGGTAGCGTAGTCGCAGCAGTAGGCGCCGCGCACTACAGTAACTTTATAGCTTGTAGTACTCAAGAATGCACGGATAGACAATCCTGCAACGTCACTTATATCGTTAGTTGTTTATAGATCCATCATTTTCATGAAGAGTGCCAAAAACGGTTAAAGACGCGTGAAAATGACTTTCTCCCGGGACTTAGCAGGAAATGATGTCGACTAACGGCTTTCCGAATCCTTTTTTCGAATGAATTGCCCGTTTTTATGGACTTGGTTGAGGGCTAATCTGGGATCAGCATACTTGCTCGCTTTCTTTCTGCAAGTTTAAAGGATTTTTGTCCCAAATTTGTGTTAACCCGCTCTAACTCCAGTGGGTACCATTTTCGAAGTAACAAACAAACTCAACAGAGCAATGTACTGTCAGACGGCCTTTGCGCACGTATATTAAGTTACGACGCTGGCAAGAAAGTTGCACTACCAGCCGCAAATATCGCGCAAAAATAAATGGAGCCAAAGTGCTTCTTCCCAGTTTTTCTGGAATTGGGATTCGTCAAAATCTGTGGCACCGGAAGGACACATGCGTTTTATTGCAAAAGCCTAGCTGAAGAGCTCTTCAAATGACAAAATTGTTCCACCAATTCGTTCAGCTTGCAACAATTCCAATATCACATTTTCTGCGGAGCTTCGAAAAACACTTTGCAGGCTAACGGCGACGCAACTTTTGTTTTGCAGATTGGCATCATGTTTTGGCCCTTAGGGATGCTCCAATCTTCAATAGCGTGCTATTGGTCTCTCACGTGTTCCCGAGGCAGTTCGCCCGGCTGTGTAACGGGCAGCCATTCTCCTATGCTACACTTCAAAGTACTCCATCTCTCTGTCCTAGAAGCACGCAGACAACACGAGTGGCACTTGCAATCGAGAGAAAGCTGCTAGCAGCTCGACCATGCTTTGGACTGGGTGGCACTGTAGTGCTGCGCGCAAAATAAGAAATCTGTATTATGGAACCAGGCGTGCTATGCAAGTTTGTTCTTCTCGAGAAAGTGCACCCCCATGCACAGGCTCCAGCAATAAAGTGATGAAGGCTAACAGCGAAGCTCCGGGAGTCGGGGGCGCCTCTGTGCATGACCAAAGAACCTAGGGGTCACAAAGTAGATATAATTCCAGAACTACAGTGCTAGCTGAGGTTGGTAGAGGATTTTAAGATCAATGAGTTTTGAATACTTTAGTGCTAGCCTGCCTCCACGTCCATCTGTAAGACATAGTAGCTAAAACGTGACTACAACGCACCGGGAACCGTATAAGCGTCTAAGTACATAATAAAAATGATGAACTTACTAATCGGCTGCATTTTGATGTTGACAAGGTCCCGTACACCTCGCCTTTACTGTCAGAGATTGTCGTACGATTCACTACGCTCAGCAGTCAGACCAAAAGCTGTGCG